GTACACGGCACCGTAAGACGTAGTGTGGAGTTGCATTAGGTAACGCTGTGGTGGCTGTACTGCTCCAGCCGTCTCCTTTGTGTTTGTTTGTTTCCCCCTGTTTCCCCCTGTCTGTGTTGTTTGTGTGTGCGTGGTGGCTGTCACTCCTGGCTCCCGGCTCAACCTCCACTCACCTGCTGCAATCAGCTGTGCACCCTCCCCGACTACACACCTGCGTTCCATCAAGCCATTTACAACGACATATCAACGGAGGCTCCACAACCTTTCTCCGCCAGATCGTCAAGTATCAGCCGTATCTCGGGTCTAACATTCTGTAGCTAACGCCGGTCGCTCACCAAGATAGCTGCCCAGTTCTCCACTGGTTCTCCTCACACCACAGCTCAATTTCTCTCCGATGGCCGTTATTTCTTCTAATCCTTGGCTGCTCCTGGTCTCTTGGACGCCTAGCAGGCTCATAATTATGAGGTTGTGGTCCGTCATATGCATTTGAATATTCATGTTCAACTTCTTATGTGTCTTTTGTGTCGAAACTAGCATTGGGATCCATGTTTATTAATACGTTACACCGGCTGCTCTCCCCCTTGTTTCCCCCATGTTACGTCACACGCGGGAGGTCAAGTGCCGAGGCTTTTTTATGTGGAAGTGAACATTTCTTACAAAAACCACACTGTAGTGTATATTTCTGTATATTTTTTGGAAAATCTAGTGTATTCATCATTTTCCTACACATTTATTCACAGGTGTCTTTAACCTTGAAGTTGCTCTTTAAGAGCGCTTCTGCTGTCTGCAATTTAGGCATGGGGATAAAGTGAGTCATTTTGGTAAATCTGTCAACAACAGTGCAGATGGTGGTGTTACCTGCAGAGGGCGGCAGTCCAGTGACAAAATCCAGCAAGATGTCAGACAATGATGGGCGGCTTAGAATGGACAAAGGTTGCAGTAGACCCATAGGAGACTGGGTAGAGGTCTTATTCCAAGCACAGGTAGTGCAGGCTGCCACATACTCAGTTACCTCCTTCTCCATTTTAGGCCACTAAAACCTTTGCTTTATCATGTACATGGTTCTTTTGATACCTGGATGACATGTTAATAATAATAACAACTTGAATGTATATAGCGCCTTTCATAACCTCAAGGTCGCTTTACAAAGAAACATACAAGGACACGACATAAAACATAAAAAAAACATAAACATAAAACAGGGGGCAGAAATGGAAGTGTAAGTGGGGGGGAGGGGGAGTGAGTTCTTGTTGGAAGGCGATGTTGAACAGATGAGTTTTAAGGGTTGATTTGAAGATGTTGAGAGAAGGGGCGTTGCGGATTTCTGCAGGGAGGGAGTTCCAGAGGGTGGGGGCAGCGACACTGAAGGCACGGTCCCCGAAGGTGCGGAGGCGTGAATGGGGAATGGAGAGCAGGCCGGAGTCTGAGGATCGAAGGGTGCGGGACGGGATGTATGGGTGGAGGAGATCTGTGAGGTACTGAGGGGAGAGGGCATGGAGGGATTTGTAGGTGAGGAGGAGGAGTTTGTAGGTGATGCAGGACTTGACCGGGAGCCAGTGGAGGTTGAATAGAGTGGGGGTGATGTGCTGCCAGGGCTTGGTGCGTGTGAGAACCCTGGCAGCTGAGTTCTGTATGTACTGGAGCCTGTTCAGGGTTTTGCTGGGAACCCCGGACAGGAGTCCGTTACAATAGTCCAGGCGTGAGGTAATGAAACAATGTATCAGCTTCTCAGCAACAGAGTCGGAAAGTGATGGCCGGAGTCTTGAAATATTTCTGAGGTGGAAGAAGGCTGATTTTGAAACGGATTTGATGTGGTATTGAAATGAGAGGGTTGAATCCAAGACAACACCAAGGTTGCGGACCTGAGGGGATGGGGAGATGATGGAACCGTCGATGTTGAGGAGCAGATCTCCAACCTTCCCGAGCAGTGCCTTGGGGGCCACAACCATGAGCTCAGTTTTATCACTGAAAAAGAAGTGTAGGGTAAGCGATGGCTTTCCCTCTCTCTACCCACCTTCCATTGTCAGCAGGACTGGAGCTGGTCTGGTCCGGTCCGGTCCGGCTCAGGTCCGTCACACTGTGGGCTAATCTGTCTGTCAACCACTGCACTTTATCTTGGTCGGACAGCTTGGAGTGCTCCGGTGCAGCTGCTGCGCTCTCACAGGCCTCCTCCACTGCATCGACTGTTGTAGAAGAGAAAATATGCACACCCGAAAAACAACAAAGTCAAACATGGGTATAAATCACTGCACGCAAAATAAATAATTATTCTACCCCCAGCCAAAAACTCACCTTTCACAGCCTCGACTTCCAAGGAATCCCTCTTCTCAGAACTCTGGCCGTTCTGTTCCTGGCCTGATTCCTGCGTCTCTGCCAGCTTTTGGTTCTGGAAACTTTCCATCCATTCCAGAGTTTCACCGTTCTTCAACGCAGATCGATGGTCCTTGAACCAGCGGACGATGTCGGTGCGTCCGAGGCTCATTTGGACCTCCAGCTGGCTGTACTGCTCAGGAGTCGGCCACTGGGTCCGACAGAACACCTGCTGAGACACATTATCTCATCAATTGTTTTTAAAAGGAAATATTATGCTCATTTTCAGGTTCATATTTGTATGTTGTGCTTCCCATTCTGCCTGTGCTGCAGCACTCAAATCTAAATAACAAACTACAGGTAAGAGAAAACCTTAAAAAGCGTAATAGGGCCTCTTTAAGCAAAGCACCTTTAACGACACAGAAAATATCAGGGAGACCCCTGAATGTTCCTTAATGTTACCTGTTTTTTTAAACGTTGACAGTCTGAAAAATAACACAAGCGAAATGTATTAGAGAGATTAGAAATATATTAAAATATCTGTCCCACCCTCACAAAGAATAGCCATAAAAGAAAAAAAATGTCACTTAGCTGCAATCAGCAGATACATAGCCTAATATATATTGGCAGATTCTGATTACTGTTTTCAGAATATTATTCAATTTGTCATGGAATATATTCCTTTAACTGTTTAACAAAGTCAATGTGTTAATACAAGCTATTGTGAATACAGATATCTCAATATCTGCTGGATGAAAAGCGTGAAAGGTAATACAGAAATTCAGGATCATCAGAAGATTTATAGCATTTCTTTAGAATCTTATTTAAAATCACCTGGTGGTAGGAGAAATAATGCATTAATATGTATTACGAAGTACTTCATATTCTACCAGTTGTAGAAATGCATGTATGTATTAACACATTGCAGAGGCAGTCTGTGTTTCAGAGCATAAAACAAGTGCTGCTTCTTCAAGAGACTTCTCGTGGATATACTTCTATCACCACAACACTATTCAGCTCCTTTTCCTGAGTTTGTCAAATATGACCTTGTCAACACGTTACCGTGTTATCTCACTTCTCACATCCAAGTACCAGCACATCTCATCATTTACTGTCAATCACACAGATTGTTCTCAGGCACCAGTACTATACATTCTCAGGTTTAATTAATTTTACACATCTTCTCACGCACAAAAGGTGCCATGTCCTGTTAATTTATCTCTTTAAAAGTGACAACTCATTAATGTACTGATACCATTAGCAGCCCATCTGCACTCGTTGTAAAGGATTCAAGCTCATATTAAAAGACACAGTTCATCCCAAAATCTAAAAGGCACATTTCCCTTTTTCCTGAAGTGCCCTCTGTAGATTTAGATTGTTGTTGGGTGAATTGCAGAGTTTTTGAGAAATCAGCTGTTGAAATGTCTGCCTTTTCTCATTATAATGGATCCAGAAGGAGCTGCTTGTGGTTGTCAAGGCGTCCAAGAAATACATTTGAAACAACAATATCTCTTTCCATAAATAATGACCCGAGTATTAAAGATAATCTGCAGACCTTGTTGTGAGCAGTTTCATGAAGGAACCCATTTTAAGGGGCTCCTGCTCAATGGAAGGCAGGTGTACTTGGTTGATACATAGCAATACATCTAAACAGGAACAAATATGTATTTTAGATTTTTCATGGTCCTTTCAAAGTTTTACATTTGTGTCAGATATTAATACATTTTCTTCTAATAAGTGCTGATGTAGACATGTCTGGGTCTGCTGTTCTCACCTCTCTTAATAGGCCGAGGGAGAAGCTGGTTATTGGAGCCGGGCTGGTGCAGGCAGACAGGATTGGGGGATGGGGAGAAGAGGAGGAGGAAGATGAAGTGAGGATGGGAGGTGATGCTGATGAGGAGAGGGTGGGTGGGCGAGGGGAGGAGGCTGCGAGTACAGGAGGGGAGGAGGACGACGATGAGGAGGAGGAGGAAGGGGAGAGGACAGGTGGATGGGGGGAGGAGCGAGGAGGCTTCCCGCCGTGCGACGCCCCGTTCAGCAGCGCAGCCGGCCGCTCCGCCCGCTCCTCCGTGCTCTTGGCAGACATGGAGAGCAGAGCCTTCTCCATGTTGTCCCTCAGCGCCCGGCGCTCTGAGAACCAGCAGTCCACCTCCGTGTGGGACAGCCGGGTCTCCTGGGCCAGCAGGGCTACAGCAGAACAGAGTTCAGAGGATCAGATGTCACACCGAGTGGAAGGCTACCTCAGAAACCTGGGAATTCATTCTCTCTCAGGGGGACTTAAACATGGGCTCATTAAAAACATTTCTGCTATTCCTGTCTGCAGGAACCCACCAGAGGCCCGCAGCTTCTCTGAGGCGAAAGAAAATTAAGTCACATGCTGTGAACTTGTATGAATAGAAGAAACACTACTGGAATTTTTTAAGTAATTTTCAATTCCAAGTTATGAAGTGAGGGTACAAAACTTTACAAGAACACAACCCACTGCTTTTCTAACTATCTGGTTTCCACCCAATTTATTCAGACAGGAAGTTTTTAATAGCTTCTTTAAATCTTCCGTTATATTTATTCTCAGGAAATGTATATTCTAAATGGGTTTTGAAAACATATGGCTTCATTAGCTACTAGCTTGCAGGAAGGCTATTTTTTCAAACCCAAAGTCTGATTCTAATGCCGGGACAATCAGGAAATAAAGAAAAATAATAATAAGTTACGTAATTACAATTAACGGCACTGCTAGACCCCAAGGTTAACACAGGTCTGCACCTCCTTAATACTCGCAGGGCAACAGTTTTGATGAAAATATAGTTTTTGAAATACTTAAATAAATAAAATATTGGCTGTAGCATTATATTGTTTTACGTAAATACAGGTTGTGAATTTTTGGAAAAGACAACATTTATTTTCTCAGTAATTTGGACTTTACCATGCTCTGTTATTGGGAATCTTTTGATCACTTCAGTTGAAAACAACCCAACTCACCTAAACCAATCCATATGCTATTCAAAGTAATAATATAATATGTTTTAAATCCCATCGCTTCTCTCTTTCTTGCCGGGCTGGTGAACATGGTTCACTGTTTCTTCATACCTGCACACACTAGTCTGTGTTGAGTATGGCGTGAGTGTTACATGTTGTGTTACATGTTGTGTTACATGTTGTGATACATGTTGTGATCATGGATGTTGCCCCTCGTTTCTGTTATGTGATTGTGATGTGCTCCATGTGACTGTACTGTATGTGGTAACGTGTGCTGTTTATTGTTCTCTTTTATCCTCTCTTATCCTTACACCTGTATCTACTTGTCTTTCATCCTTTTTATTTCATTTGATATTTTCTTATAACTAATGCTGTTGAGATATTGTGATTTTAAGAGTGTCTATTACCATCTGGCCGGGGACAACAGCTGGAAATTAGCCATGTTGGCTAAAGCTGCACCATTTACTGTTTTTGTGACAGTTCACCGATGGGGACTGTCCACGACACTATAAATAAATAAACTAAACTAAATATCCTACAAACCAAAGTAAGAATGAGCTTACGCCAATTCCTTGACTCTTTCCATCCCAACACTGTGTTACACTGTGTTATATGATTAAACTCCTTGCCTTGTTAGGAGCTCAGTGGAGAGTCTTTACCTAGCTCCGCCTCTGTCTGCGTGCTGCTTCTCTGAAAGCTCTCCTCCAGCGCCTTCAGCTGTTCTGAAGACTTCCCCTTCACCCTCTCCAGCAGGGGGAAGTGGCTGGGCACCGCCTTCTTCACAGCACCGTCTTTAGGTGCTGGGGTCACCTCTGCTTTCACCAGCACCGGAGGGGGAGGAACGCCTGTAGAGACACAGAGAGAGACTGAAGAACCAAAATATGAAAGGGCCAAAACGGGTCTTTTATTTTGCTAAATGAAACGGCACTTAAAAATACATTATCAACAGACTACTGACCACGATTAGGAAACTTTGCTTTCCTGTACATTTGTTTCTAACAATAAAACCCTTCCTCTGAGAACCAAAATAAGCTTGTTTCTGACAAAAAGAAAGATGGCAGATAAATACCCTGCCTGTATAAAAATATACAGGCAGGGTATTTTATCATTTCAGATTGGTGACACTGATGATATCACATACCTTTGAGATTAAGGAGCCTCTGTTCACTGAACCACTTCTTTATCTCTCCTCTGGACAGCCCGGTGGTCTCTATCAGCCTGTAGATCTTTAACATGAGCAACAGAACATAGGGGGTTTAACAGTGATGTGTCTTAGAAAAAGAAAAAAGCACTAAATTAGAAATTAAAAGCAGCTACAAAAATATGAATACCAAAAATCATTCAAATATATTTTTAATCTTCTAAGCTAAGGCATGGCAAGAAATGTCCTTTCACTCACTTATTCTTACCTCATCTTCCTCGGGGAAAGGACACTGTGTGTAGCTGGCCCTCAGCACTGAGAGCTGCTCAGCTGTTTTGTTGGGGTCCACGGTGAAGCTCAGCACTTTGGGCGATGCCAGCTTGGATGTTGCCATGGGCACGGAGATGGTCTGAATGATGGAGGGTCGTTTACTGTCCGTGGTGATCCCAGGGGAGGACAGGGGTCTTTTGAGCGACTGTGCCACCTGCGGTAATTATAAAGGAAGGTGTTCAAGTCAATGTAATAAAATACAGATAGTTGGATAGAAGCGGCACAACCCCCATGTTTCTACTCTTACACAGCCCTGTCCCTTGTATAGTTTTAATAATCAAATAAAACCAATTCTATCAACGCTTACATGTACATATAGATCAATTCAATCCAACAAAAAAGATAACAAAAAAATACAATTAATGAAAAGGAAAAAAAGATTAAAATAACCAAATAATATATATGTTTTCGGTTTTAAAAGCTACAATAGGTCAAATATACATTATTAAAGAAAAATATATATAAATATGGGGCGTCCATTTTTTGCCAAATAATGTTTAGGGTCTTTACTGCACAGATTAAGGGTTGATGGATATTTTCCTTCAATTTAAGTAGTATTTATACTGCTTAATTATAATTAAATTAAAAATACACGACCAACAAATGCAGAGGTAGCAAATGGTTTTATGCATAGTGCAAACATATCTAATAAGATGATAGAATGACTGCAAAAAAAAGTTTGGATCAACACGAGACATACATTTAGCTAGTGTTAATGTAGAGGAAACTTCTGAGCAGAAACCTCTGACTATTCCAAAACATTAACATTTCTGGGTTTTGTACCTGGTTAGCCACGGTGAGGGCCAGTGGAGCGCAGGTGACTGTGGAGCCGTTGGCCACAGGGGTCAGCACCAGGCTGGTCTGTCCCAGCAGCTGGCAGGGCAGAGACTGCAGGACGGAGGCTGCCGTCTGCATGGCTTTAGAGGCTGCAGACATGTTAGAGCTGAACTGAGGAGCTACCACGGTAAAGGTCTGAGGCAGAGAGGAGATGGTACCGTTGAACATCTTCTTCCTGGATTCTTCCACCTGAGATAAAGGGAAAGCACTTGTTATAAATTGTATTTAATAATCTTATCCATATTTATGGCTGCTATAGTCATTATCTGCAGTAACCTGTATTCTTTTCAACTTATCCTAAATCAAGCAAATATAATGCTTTAGAAAATGTTAGTATTTGGTAGACCAGATGATACCTTATTAAGCTTCAGAGATAGAAAAAGAACTGGTAAAATACAATAAACCTCACTTGAGGCTTAACAATTAAATTGCCTCTAATGTTCATCCTTTCTCTAATTCCTACCTCCTCAGGAGACCAGCTAATGCCCTGCTTGAGCCTCTGTGTGGTGAACCAGACTTTGATTTGCTCCTCTGGATGTTTGGAGGCGGCGGTGAGCCAGGAGAGCTCCGCCTGCGTGGGGTAGGGGAACTTGTTGAAGGAAGAGATGAGCGTCAGGTTGTCGTCCAGCGAAGGGTTGTATTTGGTTGTGTTGAGGGGCACTGCGATCTTCGGAACCTGAAAGAATACAAGGTCAATGGTGACTAAATGGCTTTTTCACATTAAAAACAATAATAAAGAAGAACTGTGGTCACAAAGAATGAAAGAATGTAGCATTGTGCATATAAAAAAAAAAGCATTTTTTTATTTGAGAGGTCTCTAATGTAATCTCCTAATAATGTTTTCATACCAAATTAAAATGTCCTCTTAAAACGAATAATTTGGTTACTTTATTCTCTATAATTGTTAGATTTTATGCTTCTCTTGTGACATTTTTCGGCGGACCTGCTTTGTTCTGAATAAAATAATTTGGAATTAATAAATTGAGGTGCACAAACTGAGCACCGTTTTATTTCTCCTTATAATAATTAGCACTAAACTACTTTATTGTAGTCAGGAAAATTCCTCTGAAAATAATTAGGAAATAACAGACCCATAAAATAAAGCATTACCAGCAAAACAATAAAAAGGTGCATTTGACGAAAAACCATTCTACTATTAAAAGCTGGCTCAGAATATAAAGGGATGGTAAGTCAGAGGAAATGATGCTTCCTGTCCTACCTGAGAGTAGCTGAGAGGCCGCTGTAGGGAAGGCATGATGTGTGAAAGGCCTTCTGCTTTGAGCAGAGTCGACTCTGGGATGATGAGCGGGACGTTCACGGTGAACGCTGTGATCGGTTTCTTCGCCAGATCTGTCCGTTTATTATCCGACGACATTTTTGGTTTACCGATCTTCACTGAGGTGGGCTTGCCGAGCGGCAGAGCGCTGAGGTCGTCCCCTTTGCCAGAAAATGTGTTGTAGATGACCGCACTGTTGCTGAAACCTTCTATTGTCTGTTCAAGGATTGTCTGATTGTTCATTTTGATGCGTTTGAATTTAAATTTGCTCTCCCCCGGGTGACACCTCTCGTTGTGTTCCGTCAGGGTGTCAAACTTCTTTGTGTTAAAGTTACAAACGGCGCACAGGTAGAGGGGGTTAAGGATGACGTTGGGGTGGTTGGCGTCCACGTGTTCTTTGAAAGTGTTGAGGTTCTGTGTGGAGAAGGGGCAGTATTTACACTCGTAGCCCCCCTGCTGTCTGCACTGAGGCTTGGAAAGGTCGGGGGGCTCAGCTTGGGGTTTGTCTGGAGGCAGGGGAGGGTCAGGGGCCGAGCCCGTCAGGTCTAATTCCACAGAGGGCTCGGTCTCTGCTGAGAGATCTGTCTCCATAGGCATCTCCTCAGAATGGTTCTCCGTTGTTGTCTGGAAAGAAGGCAGTTTACAGATGTAATGGATATATACAAAAAAATACTTCCCAATTCATGTCATTGATTTTCTTGAAAAAGTATTTACATAATTCATGGATTCTTTCGTAATGAACATCTCAAAAACCCTTTCCAATATGCATTCATGTACAGAGTTGATACATTTTGTGGAGAAATCTAATTAATAAGAGTATTTGTTTTATTGATATTTCCAACAGTTTTCTTTCCCAGCAACCACAATTTTATTCGGTGTATATTTAATATAGCTTCATCACATTAAGTTGCATTGAAAATTAAGAGCCACAATTCTTCCTCAAGTAAGCTTTTGAGTTGAAAACCATACCTAATTAAATATGTATTTTAGTAATAATAATAGATTTATTTTGTAAGCGCTTTTACAGGTGCTCAAAGTTGCTTTACAGAGATAGTGAAAAAAATAAAAAATAAAATAAAAGAACAACAAATAAATATAGAAAGTCACATTAAAATCAAGCAATACAACAACAATCACACATTAAAAGCCAGATTGAAGAGGTGAGTTTTTGTAAGTTTTTTGAAGGTGGTGAGGTCAGTGCAGTCTCTGATGGGTTGTGGGAGTGAGTTCCAGAGGGAGGGGGCAGCGACGGAGAAGGCTCTGTCCCCCCAGGTTCGGATAGCTTTGTGACTGTTCACTTATCCAGTGAACATTTACATTTGTTATATTATCATTCATTTCTCATAATATTATAATACAATTATTACTAGAAATGTAAGGTTATCCATATCTTTGTGATATCTACATAGCAGATAAAGGTTTGTATTAGTAATATACCAAGCTTATAAAAACAAGCTCTGAATCAAATATTCAAAATATTACACATGAACTTAATTTATTTAGTTGATCCTATAAGCAACTTAAAATATACCTCCATGTCATCGTCTGTGTCGTCATCCAGCTCCACCATGGTCTGCTCTGGGCGGATCATCAGGGGGGTGGAGGCCTTCCGTCGGCTGGACATGATGATGGATCCTGGGTTGGTCTGGGTGGACCGCTGCCAGTGAGGGGAATGCTATCACAGGAGGGTGGGAAAAGGTCTGCAGACCAGCCAGGAGGCCTGACCTGTACTGGGACCCAGAGACAGGCGAGGGCTCTCTTTGATATTCAGAGAGGAAGTGAAAACAGGACAGTGTCTGGGACGGGGGGAGCAGCCAGTCTTAGTGGCTGGAGCGAGAGGGGGGCAGTGGAAGGTGGGGGTCTGGTACGGATGGTTCTGGTGTCGTGTCGGGCTCACTGACAGTGTCAGCTCCAGTGCTGGACCACTTCCAGGAACTTCATGACAGGATGCTTCCTGGGTGGAAGAAAGAAGGGAAGAAGCAGGGAAAAACTGATTTTTATCCAACACCTTTTCAAAACTGAAATTCAAGCACTTTTCAAGCTTTTTCCGAGCCTTGAAGCTGAGGTACATTACAAAGCACATACTGTTACAATGGTTTACCAGATGCTCCAATCCATTATTAATATGATGCAAGTGTGCTTTAAACAACTAAAATGTGTGTTTCTGGACAGCACTCTGCAGAAGGTCGATGAAATAGGTGAAACATTTAGCTTTGTTATATTTTCCTTTGTCGTAGAGGTAGATCTAGCATTCCATTCACCCTTGCTGAGCCAATATCAAACAATAATCAGTAAACAAATAACATTTGAATAAAGTCTTTACTGAAAATGTGAAAAATAAGTGAACATTGGACCTTTTAGACTGGCAGTGATTAACCTCATTTACACTTTTTCAACTAAATGTAGCATTAAGAAAATACGGTGCAAAACAATTCAACTTTCAAACTTTTCCAGCGGCTTAAAGCTTAGGTCAATAAGATTTTTTTTGTATCCTCTTATTTTACCTTCACACCAACCCAAACAAACCGCATCAAGCAGTTAAACGCTCCAGGTTTCCATTCAACCGTACAAAACAAGCCTGGTGTGAACGCGACCTTAGATACCCTTTTTGTGTGCCTTTGGTAAGTATTGCAGCAGGAACCAAACAAGCTGGTTTGAGCGTGTCAAGAAAAGACAACAGGCTGGTTTATATAGCTCAGCGGGGTCCCATGTGGGTCTGCAGCGTGCCACCATCCAAAAGGAGGTGGTAGAGTAAACACTTTGCCAAGGCCAAAAAATGGCTACAAATGAGGAAGGTCAGAGGAAGCAAACAAACAAACATTGCAGAGCAGATGGTCTACAGGTGGTCGACTGACATACAGCACAACAACACTGGTGCTGAAAATAAAACGAAATCCTACACCAGGCACAAGAAACCCTGCCCTGCTTAATGAGCGTTTTTTTGTTCAGGCTGATGGAGAGGAGCAGGGTGTGAAGTGTCTAACTCACATTCATTTTCCATCTGCTTTAGGGGAACACAAATCTGTAATAGATTTTCATTCTTTACAAAATACTGGAACTTGGTTTTGCCTAGATAAATGCCTGAAAAACTATTCAACCACTATATGATACTTGTTTTATGTGTGAATTAAAAAAAGGTTGCCATCATTATTGAATTCAAGCTATTTATTATATTGATCTTTTGTTTTTTTAACACTCTTGAGGTGGAGGTGCCGAACAAAGCCCACTGGGTTCTTTGCCTCTTCCTGCACGGTTTCTGATTTCTTAGCTGTTATTTGTGTGTGTTTATATTGTGCAAAACAATCAAATACAAAACCGGAATGCATGCAACCACAAATTAATTGTAGTCAAACAAATTAAAAAGGTAATTGTAAAACCCTTTTTTTTTGTTTTTAATCTGACCGCTAATATATATATATATATATATATATACACACACACAAACTAATTTTGCAGACCCTATCCCTCCGTAGTCTTTCAAGTAGGAGGAGAAATGCCAGCGTTCTCCTCCGGTTTACAGACACTGTGGCCATTTCTCAACCGCGAGTACACATGCTTCAGAGCAACTATTTGAAGTATACTACGTCAGAGTGGCGCAGAATGTTGGGCATTTAACATGCATTTAAACAGTCCTTCGGCGCCACTCGATGACGTAGTATACTTGAAATAGTGGCTCTGCAGCAGTTTTACTTGCGATTAAGAAACGGCCTGTGTAAATTATAGGCTATATATAGAATAATTATGATTATGAATGCATTTTTTTACCACTAAAATACAGCAACACATCTTTGATTCATGTCGTTTATAACTGGGATATTACAATTATTATTTACTTTGTCTGTACAAAGTAGCCTGTCCAGGAATCAATAAAAACTGCGAGCCGGCTGGCAAGACGCTCGGCTTCTGAAACGCGCCCGGTAGGGTAAGACGCCGGAGGAGGCCGGACCAAAACCGCGGCGCAGCCGTGACACGACGCAGACGGACCGGTGGAATCGAGGGGTTAGAGCTTATGACAAAACTTCAAATTAGAACAATTTAAAAGAAATCATTATGAAGCTTGGGAAGAAGGGTCATATTCAGAGAAAAAAAAATGTAATTTGAGATTACATTTCGTGGAATTACCTTTTCACAACTATGTTTATTTTTTTTATAAATACGGCTTAACTTTCAGTAAGCAAGTTCTATAATAAATATTGGCCAGGGCTCGACATTAACGACTGCCGGATGGCCCGAGGCAAGCTAGTATTTAGCTCGGGCAATGAAGCCTCACCTGCTGGTTGCCCGATCGGGCAATCTATTATGGCAATTGTGGAGACGTGTC